ACCGTGAGGAACTTGGGAGGACAAAATAGCGCAAACCAGTGATCTCTAAAGATCTCGGCGCACTTCAGTGAAGAGGGATTACCGCCAGTGTCAGAAATAATCCAGGCACCATGGAAGAGTGTGCCCATGCAGATGACAGAAAGAATAGTGAAGCGGTTGCCAAGTGCATCGCGACATTCGAAGCAATCTGCTGTAATCTCGTAGTTGAAGGTGTAGAGGCTCGGAGGTCGAACAACAGGTGTTAGGTCGGGCTTCTTAAGCTGTTGACAAGCCTCGCGACGAAAGTATTTGATCCTGTTCAAGACTTCAGGATCAGCCTTTGCCAGCTTGAGCATTCTTGCCATAGCTGATGAGCTTGCGTGACCAATCATCTGATGTAGTCGTCGAACTGCGACTCGTCTATCTCTAAGCAGGCAGCATGGTCTTCACGAGACTCTTCTTGCCGAATCTCCTGTTCACCAAGTCGTGGAGGTAGAGGGACAACAGTTTCATCCTGAGGGTTGTAAATCTTGTCCAAAGTGCCGAAGGGTGCTTCATCTTCCTGTCAGCAGGGAAGGCGTACTTGGTGTACGTATGCTCGAGCTCATCTTGCAATCCCGAGAGGAGTGCGTGGCATAGCTCAGGTGGCCATGCAATCTTGAACTTTCTTGGTACGGTTGCCTCCTTCAAGAGGTTGATGTTCATGATCTCCAGAACATTCACGGTTGAGGTGGTTCTTGATTCCTTGACTGGCTGTCAAGATGCCAGTAGGCTTCTTGTGAGGAAGGCCGGTGATGGCGTCCTTAAGACCAAACTCACATTAGTCGATGTAGCAAGCACTAAGAGGTTTACCGGCTACGCCATCCTCAATCTAATCAGCCAAGAGGCGTTGAAGTGCCAAGGTGCTCCACCTCTTGGAAAGCCAGGGCTGTTCGAAGATCACTTGTCGTCCTCGGGCAACACGTTATCGGATGATCTTCACCATCCATTTGCAGACAGGATACCACAATTATCGAAGTGCTTCAAGTCTTGGAGCATAATCTGCATCTTTTGCTACGGACAGCTGCTGCATCGGAGACCATGGTCCGCAGACTAGGGAAAAGTTCACACCATAAGGATCATGACTATTGATGACCTTCTCGATCTTGGCTCGGTGACTTGAATTAAGCAAATTGGATCCGTCCAACAAAATGTCGCACGGTTGTGAAACAATGTAGCCTGCATCGGCTGCCATCATGGAGAGCGTTGCAGTGCCAACAAAAATCTCGAAGAAGAAGGTGCGGCAGCCTTTTGGCAAAATTCATGGTCGATTCAGACCTAAGCGAAGAGTGCCCCACAAGTGCCGGTCGGCTTTCTTGGTCTCCTTCACCTCGGCAGTGAAGTGTCGGCGCTGACCCTTGGTGAAGGTCTTCTTGGAGGAAATCTCGTCTAGCGCCAAGTGCGCCTCAGGGCACAGAACAATCTCTTCTTCAATAGGCTCAGGCACTGTGGAAGTCTCCACTTCTGCTTTCTTGACCGTATCATACTCAATCATCTTGACGTTCTGGGTCTCAGTACTGGGGCTCGGTCATCTCACAGTCATGAGAGGCGGCTTCAGCATGGAGCCCAAACTAGCCGGGAATGAGAGGGATGGCCATCAGGCCTCCGCGGTTGACTACTTTAACATTGCTACCCAGAATGTCGCTGCTGACCTTCTTCTTGTTGAGGTCGATGACAAAGCCCAATTGTCTTTGGGTTTCGATCGAGAGCAGCAGGGGAGCATCGGAGTCCCCGATCTCCAGTGACGTCATTGTGCCTCTGGCGTAGTCACCGTTCTCAAGTTCAAAATTCAACCCAAGAGTTCGCTGTCCAGCGAGCTTCATCTTTCCACCAAATCCTTTCATTCCACTTCCAGCCACAGGTTGAAGAGCTGGTTCACAGCCAACGACAACACAGTACTTGCGAAGCCAGGATGCACCATAACAGGTGGCGTTGCGGCCAGTGTCCAAGATGGCCAGGATGTCTTCCTCAGAGCCAGGTATTTGTCGAATGGCCATGAGTGCAGTGGGCTGTTTCTCACTGGGCATGTGATTGGCTTTCATCTCACGGAAGTAGCTGGAGAGCTTCTTCATACCAGGCGATGAGGATGTAGTGCAATGATCAAGGCACCATTTGACATAAGCTTGATCTTGCCAAGCCTCGAAGAAGGTTCGGTTCTTGTAGGAACCATGGTTGAGAACTGTTTGTCCTTCTTCTTGGAGCTTCTCCTCTAATGTTGTCGTAGAGGGCGCCGGCGCGCTCTTCGGAGGCATCTTGTTGGAGACTCGAGATGATGCTGTCGGCGGTGACTGCTTCTGATTGGTCACACTGATAGCCACTTCAAGCGCTGAGATCACTTCATCAATGGGTAGCTCACCACTTGGACCGCGGTCTTCCTTCAGCTTGAGGGCTACGTCAAAGATGTGCATCATCATGCCGGTATTGGAGACATTGATGGTTCCAGGGTACACTTGTGGTGGTGCCCTTGATGATGTCGATGAAGTAGTCCTTGCAGCTCTTGCGGAAGTAGTATGCATTGCTTCCAGAAGTTGTGGTGTCAACATGTGAGCGCATGGACAGAGCAGCACGTTCATCACGTCGTTGTTGTCCAGGATCAGGAGGCGCTGCATCTTTGAAATGCTCAGGGAAGCGATCCTCGATGGCAAAGTGACTGGACATCTCAGCTTCCAAATCCATGTCCATACGAGGAAAGTCTTGTAGATCACCGGGCAGTGGATAGGCCGGTTGGTGGCCAAAGAACGAAGTGATGCCACGGAAGATGTTGCTCAAGCCAGGTGGTGGCGTTGTCTTCTGATCTTCTAAGGGCAGTGGAACTGGCTCTTGTGGAACTTCACCTCCGAGTGCTTCACGAAGCATGACCATATCAAGATCATCTTGATTGAGAACCATCTCATTGCTTGCAGTGCGAAGGCGTTCCTCTGCATCAACAATGGAGTCCATTGTTATTCAATGGACCAGGCAGGTGAGATAGTTGGCGACGCAATGGAGCCATCTTCCAACGAAGAGGGTGGAGGAACTGTATTAAGCGCATAGCCATGTAGCACATGGAATCATCTTCTTCGTCCTCAGGTGGAAACCAATCTTCATCATTGCCCTTGACGGCAAAGTAGACGCAGCGGTCGGCAGATTCTTTTGACTTACCTTTGCCCTTGTTAGGCGTTGAGGATGAAGAGGAAGAGGTAGTCTTCTTTGCTCTTGCCGCCCTTGCCTTTGGGGCATGATGGATCAGAGGACCAATGACCCACTTGTCCACAGCGTCGGCAGGCAGGTCGTTCTTTCAGCTGAGCGATCTTCTGCTGGCGTTCGGTGAGTGACAACTGACCTTGAACATTGAACTGACGAGGACCAGGGTAGCGACCTTTGCCCTTGAAGCCTTTGAATCCCTTGTAGGCAGCATTCGATCGAGTCAGGTAGGCTTCATACTCAGCTTGGACGACATCAGCAGCATACTCCAAGCTTTCTTCATCATCCAGGTCGACGCCTTCAGCGGCCATCATCGCCAGGGCGTCATGTTCGGTGAACTCCTCGAAGTCATAGTTCGGGTCGAGGTCATTCGAATTGCCAGCTTCGGGATCCATCTCGCCTGCGTAGGCGTTGTAGCCATCATCATACCAATCATCTTCACCATAAATGTCCTCAGGCATGTAGGACCTGAAACCAGAGCCTTTGCCTCGGTCTCGCCAAGAGCGATGAGGATGTCGTGACATGAAATGTCCTTTCCCTCGATGAGCTCCGTGGGACACTTGTTCGTGAACTCGGCTGTGCTGGGCAATCAACTCCATGTTGACCTTCTCAATGGTCATGTCACCAGCAATGGCCGATCGGATAAGAAGCTGGTGGTCGGCACTGATGCCGGAGTTCAAGAGCGTTTGCTCTGCAAGTATCGATTCTGGAAGCTTGAGGTGCTCATCCAAGTCGATCAAGGCAGCATACCAGGCACGACGGCGAAGCACGTATGTCGCCATGGGTTCTTGAGGCTGTCTGGACATGATGCCACCTTGGGTGGCTCCAGCTTGATAAAGCTCTCGAGCTTCCTGAGTTCGGCGATTCGGCGGAGCTTCAAAGCCTGAGTGAGGTGGCCAAAAAACTCTTCTGCACCTTCAGGTGAGGCCAAGACCTTGGTGGGGATCTGCTGTGCAACCTTGAGAGCCGAGCCTGATAGGCCCTCGACCAGTCGGAGTCCCAATGGACCAAGTTTCTTTACTTCATCTTCACCCATCAACTTCTCCTTGGCCATCCGTGCTCTCACACGGAATGAGTATTCCGAAAGGCGCGAGGTCTCTCCGCCTTAGCGGGGCAAGCCACCTCCACGGCTCTCCGTGGATGCAAAGGACTCTTCATCTTGAATGAAGTTCGAGTAGCGGAGCGTGTTGATGAGCGACATGGCACAGGTGCGGGCCGCTCCGAGCTTCCTAGGTATTACAAGTTCGTGAACAAGTTCGTGAACTGAACAGCCTAGGGGATGCCAGGAAACCAAACCAGGTGGATGGGCGAACCAAAGGGGCCCTACGGAGTCAGACCAGCTCCGCCTACCAATGTGAAAACAAACCACAAAGGCAGCCAGCGTGCACGCTTTTTGAGCCATGCTTGAGCCACGGTATGTGGCGAGGTCGTTCTGTGCTCATGCCGTGCTCACACTTCCATGCCAACTGCAAAGGCCTCTAGGTTACCTCATGTGACATGTGGGGACCATGAGGAGGCTCGATTTTCACATCAAAATATATTAAGATTTCAAATCAAGCTTTACGGCCTGTCATCGCCCGAGGGCTACATCGTCATATTTTGAGGTTAATACAATGTGGTAGGCCTCATCGTCACCTCACGGGTCTACAAAATACATTTTATACGGGCCCCAGGCCAATCATTTTATTCGGACATGTTGACCCCTATTCATTCAGTATTGTTTTTGCATCACCAAATCCAGTAAAAGGAATTCCTTGCCTGTAGGGGCCTAAATACAACTTGCTTCCGCCTCCACTTTTTCATTTGGTCTTTGAGCTCTGTGAGTTCTGCTCCTCTTGAGCTTCTAATCTTGCTAAGACTTCTTCGCCAGAGCCAACCCACCTGTCAGGCTGGAAGGTGTGAGAAGTCTTCAAAATGGTCTGGAAATCATCCACCTCCTTGTTTCCCTCCAAACGTCAAAGGCTACCTGCAACAACTTTGCAAAGAGTTGTCGCATACAAGTCTGGCAGAACGTTCCAGCGCCTCAAGCTTCACATTTGGCAAGAGTCGCTTGAATTGACCTTGCCCAACGTGACAAACATATTACAAAAGCTGTCCGACGGATCAAGGAGCTGAGGGGCAAGCAACAGCAGGCCAAGCATGAGATACACAGTGTGTGGGTCGCGTACAACCGGACTGCCCCGGTCACATCTGGCATAACCTCAGATGATTTGACTTGGATTGGTGCAGAATGTTCTCCCGGAAGTCAATACACCCCTCTGCCAGTTTGCATGATTCTGCCTTCAAGGAACATCGTCTGCATACCTGGACTGCGTGCGGAATTTCAACCCTGGGGGGCATCCAAAAGATTGGCACATTTCAGCCCGAGCAAGACTCCTATTGGTGGCTTCTTAGGCTTCCACTTTGCGGGCTCTTCTTTGTCCTCGGCGTTTGCCTATGGAGGACGAAGCCACAGCATTATATACATGCTTAGTTTGGCTGGACAAACTACAGAATGGGGAATGTTCTGCATTTTGCCGGCCAATTGCCTGGGCAAAGCAGGAGGTTGGCCCCTCAGCATCATCTTAAGCGCAGCTTGTGCCAACCAAGAGGACGATTTTCTTCCGAACACGATTGGGTCGCCAACGAGCGATTGATCCTGGAGACTGGCATTCAAAGGATAGCCTGACAGCATAAGATCTACTATTCTGTAGACACAAAGATGTTTCAATACCTAGTAACAAGGACATCGCTACTAGTAACAAGGGCATTACTTCTAGTAACAAAAGCTACTAGTAGCATCGCGATGCCCTTGTTACTAGTAGAGATACACTTTTTACTAGCAGCCACAAACAAGAATGAACATGAACAGCATAATCTTGGGGACCTCTGCTTGGCATTGTGTTGCAAAAGCCTCATGTGCTCGCGACTTGCAACAAGAAAGAATATGCGGGACACATGAAGTGGGAGCAAAGCCTTGCTGGAAGGTGCAAAAGTGCCACACAAACACGGCACCTGAGAGGATATTCGAATGAACATCATGCGCTCAAAGTATGATTTGCAGCTCATATGGCCATACAAATTGCTCTTGGCCATTTGCTGAATATGCCAACACCAGCATGTCTTCTTCTGGCTCTCCTCACCTGCGTGCTCCGACTGAAAATATCACTCTCCGCTCCACTGAAATAGCCACAATCATCGCACTAGTGCTCACACAAGGTCATAACCTCACGCGCGCTCGCCATGTGCGGCCTGGCGAGTGGCTGCAAAAGCCACGGTGGAAACACTGGTTGGCAAACGCGAGAACTTTGCACAGCCTTGCTGGTGCAATCTATTCTGCAACTCTGAGCATAATCATTGGTGCAAAATTAGCTTTGCATGTTGACAAATCCTGTAAGTTTACTTCATTGAATGCAACATTGCCATCAAATTCAAGCGGGGTGTACTGGCATGTCCCAAACTCAAACAAAAGACTTTCTCAATCTGCTCTTTTCTGTGCAAGCAATGGTAGCATTGGTAGCTACGGTCTGAAAAGTAGGGCTGTGCTGTTTTGCAAAGTACAGTTGCAATCCTCTTCATAAAATGAAACAACGAGTGCAAACAACATGAAAATGTGTTGGACCGGCGCCACATCCCTGTGCTTCTAGGGGCTTTGTACAGCTCAGGTAGTGCGAGGCAACCTGGATGTCTCAAACGTTCCAAAGTGAGAAAGCACAACGGAGCGCAATACTGCAAAGGCCATTGGCTAACGTACTCAAAGGCCCAAGCCGCTTCAGTGCTCCATTCTGTGCATTGCCGGACCCTGCAAAGCATGTTTTCTGAACTGCATGCAATACAGTAAACGGCAAAACGCAGCGAAACGAAAATGCAAATGCATCCTTTAGTGCTGCAAAGGGACTGGTCTGTCATCCTTCCGTGGGAACTGGCTGCGTTTTCAGGACCGAAGAGTACCACATCTGCATGGAAAGGACATGTCTCACTTCTCACTTCTCATGGGCAATATATATACAGTAACTCATATTGCTGACATACAAACAAATAAGAAACAAGGAAACAAGATCCCTCGTATGTACATGCCTCATGGCTTTTCCCCAGCACGCTCTTGTAGACAGGCCTGCAAAATCCCAGTCTGGGTGACGCAAAAAAGAAAGAGACTGAGTGCCGAACAAAATCCTCTCTGAGAAGTGGCTGCCCAGTACAACGCCTCCCCCAAAGCAAAGAAGACTGAAGATCATGGCCTCAAAAAGTGTCAGGCACAAGTAGGCACAAGTGACAAAGTGAACAATCCCAGCAGGGATGGTCTGAAGGGGCTTGAACTATGAATGTAGGCCGCAGGCTCTTGCCACTGGAAGAACTCTTGGCCAAGATGTGCCAAAACAGCTGTGGAGCAAATTTGTGACAATTGTCGCCGCCCTGCCCCCCCTTCCATTCCTGTACACAAAAAAACTCCATCCACGCACTCAGCTATCTATGCCCTTTTTATCAAACAACTGCATGACACTTTACTGCTAGTTTTGGAGGGCACAGGAATGTTGCAAAACAATGAGATCATCCAAACAAGCACTGATACTCTGTCGAATCGAATGACACCCCAAAGCCTCGGACTCCTGGCGGGATCTATATATTCCGGAACTGCATCGGCTTAGTTTCTGAGTTCTACTCTCTGCAATTCTGAGCATAATCATTGGTGCAAAATTAGCTTTGCATGCTGGCAAATCCTGTAAGTTTACTTCATTGAATGCAACCTTGCCATCAAATTCAAGCGGGGTGTGTATGGGCATGTCACAAAAACTCAAGCGAAACACTTTCTCAATCTGCTCTTTTCTGTGCAAGCAATGGTAGCATTGGTAGCTACGGTCTGAAAAGTAGGGCTGTGCTGTTTTGCAAAGTACAGTTGCAATCCTCTTCATAAAATGAAACAACGAGTGCAAACAACATGAAAATATGTTGGACCGGCGCCACATCCCTGTGCTTCTAGGGGCTTTGTACAGCTCAGGTAGTGCGAGGCAACCTGGATGTCTCAAACATTCCAAACTGGTTTTGGCCGTTTGCCTCTGGGCTGAATGAATTCTTTTGCAAACAACTTGTGCCGCAGAACTTATCAATGCACTACTTGCAATCGAACATGCACGTTCTCAAAGGCCCATGCCGCTTCAGTGCTCCATTTTGTGTTTTTCCGGACCTGCAAATGATGAATGTTTTCTGAACGGCACCATTGCGATGCAGTTGAAGCTGCGCAGTCCTGGTGATAGGCATTGTCTATGATCCTGGTGCCTGCAGGCGAAACGAGCTGCAAAACACAGTGGAACTAAAATCCTAACACATACTAGTGCAGCAAAGGAACTGGTCCGTTACCAGTTGGAACTGGCTGCGTCTTGAGGACGGAAGAGTACCACATCTGCATGGAAAGGACATGTCTCACTTCTCATGGGCAATATATATAATTGACATTGCTGACATACAAACAAAAAGAAACAAGGAAACAAAATCCCTCGTATGTACATGCCTCATGGCTTTTCCCCAGCACGCTCTTGTAGACAGGCCTGCAAAATCCCAGTCTGGGTGACGCAAAAAAGAAAGAGACTGAGTGCCGAACAAAATCCTCTCTGAGAAGTGGCTGCCCAGTACAACGCCTCCCCCAAAGCAAAGAAGACTGAAGATCATGGCCTCAAAAAGTGTCAGGCACAAGTAGGCACAAGTGACAAAGTGAACAATCCCAGCAGGGATGGTCTGAAGGGGCTTGAACTATGAATGTAGGCCGCAGGCTCTGCCACTGGAAGAACTCTTGGTCAAGATGTGCCAAAACAGCTGTGGAGCAAATTTATGACAATTGTCGCCGCCCTGCCCCCCCTTCCATTCCTGTACACAAAAAAACTCCATCCACGCACTCAGCTATCTATGCCCTTTTTCTCAAACAACTGCATGACACTTTACTGCTAGTTTTGGAGGGCACAGGAATGTTGCAAAACAATGCGATCATCCAAACAAGCCCTGGTACTCTGTCGAATTGGCCTGGAATCAGTTCGTGTATACCAAGCAACTCAGTCAGTCGGATCTATATTTTCCGGAAAGCGCATCGGCTTAGTTTCTGAGCTCTTGAGACTTGAGGCTAAAGGTCTGGAAGCTCTCATGGTGTCTTCATTTCTTCTTATAAGTCTGAACACTCTGAGCCCGCTTCTTTGCCTGGAAGTGTCCTTTAGCATAAAAGACTCATGAAGCTCTGCTGCTTTTGCTTGCATTGTCTGCAGAAAAACCTGAGCATTGCCCCAGCAAGGATGAAGTCTCCTCAAGAATGAAGAATTGAACTTGGCCGCAGCAAAAGATAAAAGGTCACTGCTGTCTAGAGAACAACTGTTCAATGAGGGCCTTCTGCATGATAGTCCTTAGCCTAACGCCATCTAAAGCTTGAATATATCATAATGCACATATATATATATATACATATGCCAGTGTCAGTGTATCCAAATGTGATCTTTCTCAAACTTGACATTCTCGGTGACTCATTCCAAGGGCTGTGAAGCCCACGTCTGTCTCGCTCATGAGAAGACGTGGGCTTCAAAGAAGTGGCTGTTCCGCCGACTTCCAAAAGGTGACAACCACACAAACCTTTCAACATGTTTCTATTGAATGTCCAAGCTGTATATGTAAGTTTTACAGGGACTCGAGCACAGACTGCTATGCCGTGCTTGTTGACAAGGAATGCTCTTCTTCCATCTGTAGGCCGTCACATGTCACAAGGATACAAACAATGCTAAGCACCCCATGTCCAGGGAAGCTGTATCTTGGCCAAAATGATGCATGGACACCCACGCAGTTGCGACACCATGGCAGTGATAAAACAAGAACTTGAACCGAGTCTTCGTATATACAACATTTTGGCCAGGTCCTTCCAAAGAATCCGTTGAAACATTGCACTTCAAAGGGGCCGGTCTTCAAACGCCAGGCCAGGTGAGCTTGCCAAGGGCACACAAAATCTCAGAGACACCGCTGAGATGCGAAGCATACATGAAGACTAGCAATGCCGAACGTGAAAATAGCGACGGAAAACGGGTGACCTTTTAGTAAACAAGTGACTCCGGGGAGTGTCCCATGGCTGACTGTTGAGTAGCCGACCAACGGCCTCTACACCACTAGGCGTGTGCGGGACAACTCAAGCAGGACGTAGAATTCTGTCGTGCATGAATGGTTTGCAGCTCTTCACAGCCGCAATGAATAATCACAAAAAATGATCCGTGAAAAGCACTTTGGATTGAAGCACTCTATACTAGAAGTCGTTGTTTTTGTTATGACATCTTTTGAGTTGTCCCCGTAACACCTGCCACGCGGACTTGTGTGCCAAATACTCGCACCAAGATCACAGCCGTGCCAAACACACACGCGCAAAGAAACACCAACAATTTGGTGCAGCGTGGCTCATGCCAACAGTCCATTGGAATGGACTCGAGTTACGCAAGCCAAGCGAAAGTGCCCAGCCCAAAATTCGACTATTGACTCGTACAGCTTGGGTTCACGAAATGGCTGCTGCATCGTGACTCAAGACTCACATTTCTTCTGGAGCAGTGGCCATTCTGCCTGTGCCATGCTTGATGATCATAGTGTTTAAGCATGTTTAAGCCATGAATCGACAACTGATGGTTCAATTGAGAAAGGCACGGTTCATCATTGACAGCATCAGCCTGGCCTAGCTTCACATCAAAGTTTCGAAGGACGGGTTGGACGGCATCCCTCCCATGCTGTCCAGTCTGCCGGCAGCCTCAAGTTGGGGATGCTCTTTTTGATGCGCGGAATGACCTTGTTGTCCACAAGTTCCATTTGCAAGCACAAGTAGAGTCAGTAAGAGTTCATGTGGTCGAACATTTTAGGTCTTTTAGGGCCAGAACTGTGTGTACTGTCCTGAGCCTTGGAGGTTCTTCCTCGTCGGAAGGGAGTTCCAGGAAGGTATTTTTCACAATCGCCTCAGAAAGAATTGCATTGCTCACTGTTGCACTGTGGTCTGCACATGGATTGGAATGCTCGAGGATGCGGCCCCATAGTTTTGATTGAGCTTTGTGTTTGGCGAGATAGGTTCCAGGTCAGGTGTCAGCTCCTCCACTCAACTGAAACAGCGCGTCTTCAAGCTATCCAAATGCGTTCTATGTTGATATTTGCCCTTGGTCTGAGGCCACTTCTCTTGTTTGCACTCACAAGACTTGCAATCAAACTCTTCGTTCCGTGATCCGGATTGATACCGTGCCAAAGCATTCTTTAGCATGTTACGGCCGTGCTGATTGGCTTTTGTAGCTGCTGCAAACTGGGCAGGCGTTAGAGTCGTGAGTCGTTAGAGTATCTCCTTGCCAGTGGGCCCATCCTCAGCTTCATCCTCCTCCTGTTGTAGCACATGGATGTGCGCCCCTCAATATCAATGAAGTGACACTGCCTCTTCGTGAACAGCTGAAAAGGGCGAAGAGCCCGCACCTGAGCAAACTGTCAAATGCGCATTAAAGTGGGCATTGCAATACAGAACAAATCAAGAGAAGTTCAACTTCTAACAAGTTTGTTGTGAACTGCTTGGGGCCCTTCCGGTTTTTCACGGGTACTTGTTGGGCAGGATTCACGGCCTACCCTGGCTATCCCGGCTCCAAAAAAAAAGAAACACAGGGATAATATGTGTACCTTGTGGATTGCTGGGTCGTTGGCTATCTGAGGATCGGCGTCTGGCAGGTTGTAGCGGAGTGTCCTGCCACAAGGAGGGTTCCCAACGGCAAGCGAAAACAGTCTTGCGATCGATGGTAGCTAGCTAAGCCTACTTTTCTGGTTGAGTCAGAAGGAGATGTCTGGCAGACCGACCTGCAAATGACGTAGCATCTGACTCTGATACGAAGACTTGCTGCGCCGGTCAGAAGTGGAAGACGCAGCAAGTGTGGATCTTGTGATGTCAGGGGTGATGATGAGACTATCGCATGACCCCCACAAGCAAGGTCGGTGGCTCGAGAATGCTGTTCTTGAACATGGCACAACAATGTCAAGCAGGCTAAACGAACCCTCCGAAACTGTGGATGCAGCATGTCCAATGTGGCTCCTGGAGTCTCTTCTCCGTAGGTGCGTCAGTAGAGGTAACTGATGTCTCAGAGCACTCGCTGATCTGACGTCCCATCCTCAAATCCAGCAAGAGTGACCTACCCAGGTGACCTGGCATTACCTCGTAGCTCTTCAAACCAAGCGATTGAACCATTGAAAGAAAGCCAAGTTGCCCTGTCAAGCGCTTGTCTTCTGGTACGCGGTGAAGGCCTCGTGCATCCTCAAAGCGGCAATTTATACAAAGAAGAACAGGAGGTGGACTTGGGCCTGGGCTGCCTGGGCCCTTTAAAGGGGCCCAAATATTTGTTCATTCTTGTTACTTGTTTGTGCAATATCTAATATATAATGACATTGAATGAGGAACGGCGCCGGCCTTAGAAGCCGCAATCAATTGTGGCGGAACCATAGGCGGTTGAGTGGCCATCTGGTGCATGATTTGCTGGAAGTTTTCATGTAGCCCAATGGTCAGAGGCGACTGCTCCACCTGCACGTTGCTCGAATTCAGGTCATTGCATCCAGAATGGCAGCATCTTCATTCTGTACTTGTGCTACTATGCTTGCCAGGCCGAACTACAAGCAAATAGCTAGGCTCTTCAATCACGAAGGCACGTGTGATTGCTGACATAGCAGCTCTCCATTAAAACTGGGGCCCTGCCTTCTCAATATGCAAAACACATCATGATGCGCGAGGTTCCACTGCATGCATTAGGTTAGAGGTTGGAGGCCATTGCTACTAGGTTGGAGGCCATTGTGGCAATTCAACTTGGTTTGGTTCATGGAATGAGTCGCAACTATATCTCAGACCTTCTCCAAGGGGCCCAGCTCGAGCACAGGATCATCAAGCAACTCCTGGTTGAATGAAGAAACAAGGCAACCGACAACCAAAGAAATAATTCAATTTCACTTGCCGCTACAGACGGCTGGCTGTCCTCCTCCATTTCATTGAGTCCTCCGCTCCATGTGTTGATACGTGGGTAGGAGGTGGTGGGCGTGGCAGAGTCCACATCAGCCTCGAGAAGCAGCTGCGGCCCTTCTGGCTGCCACTCTGTGAGCCACACCCCATCCTGAAGACAACAGTATTCTTGACTATAGCAGCCAAGTGACCCGGTGAGGACTTACATTTTCTGGAGTTGGATCCTGCTGAACAACATTTCCAATAGTTTCTCTACTTGAAGTCAGCGCGCCCTGCCTGCGTGGCAGAAGACTTCTGCTCCCGGCGCTTAGGCCTAAGCCACGCAGAAATGGCAAGCACCAATGCTCACAACAGTTGGCGACTCCTCAAAACTATGAGGGGCATTGTCCCTGAGGTGAGCTGTGGCCCAAGCGAAACAGGAGCTGCAACTGCATCCGGCTCCTGCTAGATTTGGTGTCAAATGCAACTGTGCAAAATGCATACATCCGCTTGCGTTCAAGGCACGCTGCGAGAAGGCTGTGTCGACAATTGCCTCTGCACTCATTCCGTGACGTGAGCACAATGGGAGGGAAGGAAGACCAGTAAGACAATGAAGACAGTGGACAACCTAAGCTAGGAACGTCCGAAGCTGACGTTGGATCTCTTGTTGCTGCTGCAGCTGCATCTGCAAGTGCTGCTGCACTTGTGTCGCGAAGGCTTGCCTGAGTTGCACACAGCAAGTTTGGCTGCTACTTGCTTTCGGTAACAGTGGAAGGCCATTTTGAGGTTCCAAGCAAGTACACAATTATATAATTGACATACAATTAGTTCAGTGGTCTTCTCTTGGCCGTCTTGTGTTTGCGGCCCTGCTGCGGGTCGGTGGCTGTCTGTGGCTTTGGTAGCTCACTTGCCAAGGAAAGCACCTTCCAAACATGACGGCTGAACAATCAAAAAACATGACTCCCTGTTGAGTGAGTAGCCTTCTGTCAGAACTGCCATGCTATTCGCATGCAGGGCGTTATTACAGAATGGTTATGTACAAATGCAGTGGGATAGCGGGAGCCTTGCCAGTGCTGTTGCTGTCCCGCTTGCCTCGCACCATGGCATCTTCTATCAACCAGTTTTAACAACTACTTATCCTACACAGTCATCGTGTCATTCTCATAGTCATTTACCTTTGCATGTATATGTGTAGCCTTGCAACGTGCTCAGCTTGCTGCCGGCTTCTTGCTTGTGCGAAGCTTTCTCCTGCAATCTTCTCTTCACAGATTCTTCTCGGAGTCTTCTGTGATCTTTGTCGACGACAGCCGCAACTGAACATTCCAGTCCTTCTTGTGTTTACTCTCTTTCTTCGGTGCCACTTTGGCCTTCTGCAATTGGAGTCACCCACACTCCCAACAAACATGTCAGTAACCGTAAAACATAAGATTCCGACAGCTGGCTGCGGAGGATCTTGCCTGTGGGGGCCATGTATTGGATGCGCTGAATCAACACAACCTCTGTTTTTAAAGACTGCTACCTGGTATATATAGAATGCGATTCTTGGCGTGCGATTTGGTGTTAAAAATCTCTATTGGTCCTCAAGTGACTGAGTCACCACTGCAGTGCATGTCTCTGTCTGACCTATTCATGGACTCGTCGATTAAGCTCCCACCTTTTTGGCATCTGACCAGGAGCTGCTGCCACTGCCTTGCATTTGAGCGACCGCCGTGGACATCTGCCCCCACTTGGTTCTCCAAGGTTCGGGCCCATGGTGCAGTTGGCGCAGGTGCCTGCGCCGCCACTACATTTGACCTGAGTTCAGCGAATGACATTGCGTCTTCTCTTTGAAGGAAAGTTGCTAAAAGCGTGTTTTGACGTTGTGCTGCAACGGTTCACTTTGAGTTGCTTTATGCCATGGAACACCTAGCCATCTGGGTTTGTCAATCGTTCTCAATTGTTGAATGCCTGCTTTACCTTTGTTGTCTTGACCGTCTTTATAGTAGCAAACTTTGAATTCCTCTGCCCAAGGTTCTGTTTATGCTGAGCTTTGTGAGTCACCGTATATTTTTTTCTGCATGCTTGGCCTGCATGTGAAAGCAAAATTCAGTCTTTGAACACATCTCCCAATCAAGTCACAAATCTGCCCCTGACTTCTTATCACAGCCCAGCAGAAGTCATGCTTAGGGTCAAGCAAATTGATCAAGAAGCCAGCCTGACTCTGCCGTCAGTGGTTTCACTTGAATGGCAAATGTATTGAACCACCGGTAGCCCTTGTCCGAGCCTCCCCCCCTATGTTGAATCACTCTTAATGAAACACTGCAATACTACAACACGGTGGTAAAATACATTCATCATTGTTTGGTAGAATCCAAGCTAGCCGTGGAGGAGTGTTCGTCCTGAAGGCTGATTTGAAAGTTCTGCGAAGGTGCCTATCCGCTTAGATGTCGCATCTCACCGAGAAGCCCACTGAATCAACAAGTTTTAAACAGCTGGGGCTTGAACATCAAGAGTAGCTGGACTCAGGATAGCTCCTCCCTCAGTTCCAGGGCCAGAAGTTGGAAAAAAAGGTGCAACATCAACCTTGACCAGGTCTTTTCCAAGTGCAGCGGCCAATGGCATATTTGGAAAGAGTTGTGCAGCAACTTCTGGCCTCACAAGCTTGGAAATGCAGCTGGAAAGCTTGGAAATACTTTGTAAATCCTTGGGTCAATGTCTGTTAGCCTGGCGCAGCAGTGATGTGCTAGCTAGTTCGTGTGAACTTCAATGCCTCTGAGCTTGCCAAATGTCCATCACGGTGCACTCTCAGTGAACCGGCTGGCGACTACAGTGAGCAAGATACACTATGATATCATCCCCTCACCACTATCAAACACCATCACCACCTCCACCACTGCCAGCCCCATCAATGGCCCTGCTGCCACTCCCCACAGTGAATGGGATCTCTTGTCGGGGTATGTTTGTGCATTTGAGATCGTTCGAGGTTCTGGTTCCTGAGTACGACCAAACTTATAGAACTGAGATTTGTACTGCAATGCCTGAAAATTGTTGCGGCAATGGCTCGCCCGTCTTACAGAAGGCAAAGGTGCTATCTTGGCCTGGACTCGGCGGCACATGCCTGGAGTTTTCTGCGCTGTTCTGTGCTGCAGGTCAAACAGCTGGCACTATTTGGCCACAGGTAAGGCAATGCTGGTAGGGCTTTGGTGCAGGACTACCACTTGTCGGTGCGTCGGTGAGGCCCTTGGTAGCCTGCAGTGAGCTACACACAGAAACTTTTTTTCAGTTTACTGAAACTTTTATCTATCCCGGGGCCCATTGATAATCTTTGAGCATTCAGCAAAAGTTTTGCAGGATCCTAGGCCAGGCTTATCAGCACACATTCCTGCCGGTGCTCCATTCAATCAGCTGACCTCAAGCTATAATATGGGCAGGTCCCAAGAAGCATCATGTACTCAGTTGCTACACTGCCTGGGTACAATAGGAACCCCCTCCATTAATTTTAACGTGGACTTGCGTGGGTATGCTGGAACAGCAGCACTGTTGCAGCAAGGTAAGGATAGAACGAATGCCTCGAGGTGCTTTTGGCTTCGAGGAGTGAGAGGGCCTGACCAAGTCCTTGTCGGCACTTCAGTTTGGGGGGCAGTTGCCATGGGGCTGGATGCTTTGATGCTGCGTCCCAGTGCTGTGTGAATTTCACAACCATTGGATTACGCGCCCCCAGTGCAATTCAGGCAGCTGTTGAAATGCTGGCTCTACGTGCTTAGTGGCTTAGTGCGAGTCAGTGTGTTCACAGGTGCCTGCAACAGCACACACGCATCAATGATTTTCAAGAAACAACAAAGCCCTGGCACATAGGTGACTGGCGGAAGTGCGGTGGGCACCGCTTGCAATGCAATGCCGGGCATGGTAGTGCCTCTGGAAGGCTCCTGCCAAGTTTGCAACGTTCAACCACAGAACTGACATCACCACCCGACACTTGAGACAACGTGAAGGCCGTTGGTTCCACTCCTGAGCCTTCTGTTGTTGTTGTTTGGGTCCGGTTGCCTGCCTTGGTGGCCAACTGAAGGCAGGATCACAACTCTATGCAATAGCGAAGTGTTTTTACTATAGTGCGCATGGTGCCTTGAAGTTTTGCCAGCAAGTCACTCGAGCAATGTCAGCTGCTGTCGTAACTGCTGATGAAGCTGTTCATTTGTCTTTTGCCGCTGTACATCTTGGCCTCAGCCGTAAACTTATCCAAAAGCAACACGTCTGCGGCAAAGTTGAGAACACACAACACATTGCAAAACAAATGTGTCAGTCGCTCCCATTGAAACATGCAACGTGAAGACAACGTGAAGGGAACACGATGAATCGATTTTCTTCCATCTTCTTCTACAATGCTAGAACCACCCCTGCAACATCCGGCAAGCATAACATGAGAGCCCAACTTTCTGCAGCAGCTTTGGCCGCAGCTTTTGCTGCTGTGGCCAAGTGCATGGCCTGGATCCCCCAAAACATGCATTTCAAAATGTGGTGAGAAGTCGCATTGAAGTCGCCTCTGTCTCGCGGAGTTGGTCCAAAAGTGGCGAAGGCTCAGTTTCAAAACACTGCAGCAAACAAACGGAAAACAGTGCCAATCATGTTCGATCTAAAGCAGCCTCAAACGTTGACATCGATTGACAAACAAATGCCCTTGGATCATGACCAGGCCAGGTATCTCCTTGAGTTCAGTCCGGTTGTGTGCATAACGGCAGTTGGGATCATCGCAAGAGCCTGGGAAATGGACTGCCATGGGTCGCCAACCGGAAATTGGAGCTCTGGAAACATGATAGTTCGCACCTTGCCTGTGCTGATCAACATCTTGCCTTGGATCGCTTCTAACAACATCTAACAACCATCAAGCAACAACAGCAATACCGTGCAACAATCCCAAATTCCTCGGTGTAAATCCACTGCTGCTTGCCACGTCACAAAGCTTAGTGCAAGCCAAGTCTGGAAGCTCTTGGAGCTCTTCTTTCTGATGAGCAAATTTGCAACTGACCTTAGGCTATATCCTTCAGAGTCCGAAAAACATGAAATACTAGCACAAAGGCAAGAGCATTCTTAGGCTTTGACACCCTTTGTGCATGCCCCAAGGATGTGGAATTTACACATCCTTTGTGGTTGAAACACTTGTGTTTGCTTCAATACATGCATCACACAAATCCAACTTGCATCCTTCAACAGTCGGCCGAGTGTCTTGGTTTTCGAAAATATAACAGTACGTTGTGCTCGCTCCTGTGCCTGCTAAAGTGCGGGGTCAGGTTTTGGCAGCACATAAAACGGTGCCGTGCAATTGAGTGACTATCACTGGGTCATCAGCTGCAAAAGGCTTCTTTGGCGTGCCTCTACGGAAGTCTCGTCGACTTCTTTTCGTCGCCTCCTTCCGTGACCGCGCGGCATCAGCGTGCTGTTTCCTGGCAGGGCCGCGGCAAGTACAAAACCAAAAAACATCAACAATTGCTGGCATCACGCCATAGAGGCCAGGGAAAAATGAATGAAGGGACAGCTTCCAACCTACTAGCGATGGCCCCCAACCTAGAAACAATGTTCAAATCCCTAATCCCAACAAGGAACTCGGACACAAGATCAAAGCTTTGCACCTGAACGTCCCCACGTTCCTAGTGCCCCTCAGGCCAGTTCTTTGAGCCAAAAGACTTTACATGATTTTGCATGCGCGCGTAGTCCACATGCACTGACTAGTATGGCAGGCCTGTTCAACCGCAAAAACAAATGAATGTACCACAATAGTTATCAGCTTCGCCAAGTGCCAATGCTGGATCTCTTTGAAGATTTGCCGATGGAATCTAAGCCTTCGGTTACACGGTGGTGGCGTCATGAGGGTGAGCGATGATTATTGATTGTTGGGTTGGGTTGCCACTTGCACATGATCTGCTCGTTCATGGTCTGGGGACAGATGCGCTAGCAAAGTTTAACATGCGCCACCAACATGCGAACTAGGTACAGCCCTTCCCAAAGGAGCAAGGCAGCGCACTCTACTCTAGCGATCCAACCGGGTACAAGGAGAACATTGAGCACCAAACCAAGCCAACCACATCCAACCGCCACATGTGCCCAAGACATGCGCCCAGCATGGCGCAACAATTTTCCCCAACTCAAAGCACGCCGTAGGGTGGCAGTGGGAGTGGCGTGCAAAAGACTTGTGTGGAAAGTTGCGGGCCCACAGCAAGCGCGGAATGGACATGCGCCAAACCATAAACTAGCTAGTGCCCTAGGCCCCCTTGGAAGGGCGTCGGCCCACTGCACGGGACAAATGCACTAGCTAAGTTTGACAAAGGCCACCCAGATTGGAAGTAGGTGCAGCGCTCCCCAAAGCAGCGTGCAGCGCACTCTTTTCTAGCGAAGCGAATGGGACAAAAAGTGGTAAGGTCAACCAACCGGCGCAAGGAGAACATCGAGCACATCCAGCCACCGCATGGGCACAGCTTATACCCCAAACACGCACCCAGCATGGGCGCAACAAATTTCCCCATACGCAGTCACCCCACGCTACTCTGCCCACGCGCAATATTGTACGCTTGGTACGTTATAATCAAATCTTTCCAAGGCTCCTGGTCCTGGACACTGAACTTCTTGTCCTTTGCCTTTTGCGATGCCCAGCTTCCTGTCTAGATGTTTTAATAGATGTAACATTTCGAAAATTGTTCCGTACTGTGGTGGGCCCGCCTGCTGGCATTGATTGTTCCAGCGGTTGGCATGTCATCCTGCATTTATGCCTGCGCGATGAGTCTATGCTCCAGTGTCGCACTCGCAGCTGCCGCTGACCAAGTGCCGGGCCACTTGGGTTTGGTGAAACGAAGGGGGGATGTCAAGGGGGCCCCTCTCAAGGTCGTAGAGGGAGGCGGGAAGGGAGGAGGGGGCTGGTGCCTGGGGCAATGTCGCTTGGGTGTGTGGCAAGAAGATCTCCTAAGGGGGGGTTGCCATCAACGCTCAATGCCGAAAGTTTGGTTAGGGAGATGCAAGAGGCTGCTGGCGAATGCCTTGATGGCTGCTGTTGACAGAAGGGCTGCCCACCGCGGAATCCATGCATGGTGAGCGGAGGCCGGGACTGGGAGAGGAGCGGGTTGGGCCCGGTGGCGAGCTAGTAGGCGGATGACGGTTGCCGCTTCTGCGCTCCACCGTCCACCGACCTCAAGTGCCACAACCCTTGTCGCACCAACTGTGGGTAGGTTCTTTCTTTGGCTTTTCGAGCTATGCGCAAGGCTGCTCCAAGTGTGGTTCTCTGGTCTCGCCGGGGCTGGGCGGCCGAGGTCAAAGGCGAGACTAAGGTGGTGTCGACGGCGAGTTGGGATCCATTCCACAAAGGCAACCCGTTCGCGATGACTTCGATTCTTTTGTCATCGGTCCTTTTGGTGTCGGTGTTGAGGTCACGCAGCAAAACATTTGTGGAGACTGTTGCGCCCGCTTCACGGCAGATACGCGCGACTGCACTTTCAAGGGCTGCCCCCCTAGACCTCAAGGTGCCGGATCGGGGACAGGCCGCCCGATGGTCGCCGAAAGTGTCAAAGGGCTGCTGGCACCGGCATCTGGGTGGGGTCTTCATGTATTTGGGCATAGAACTGATGCCAACTGTGAGCATACAGCCTACCACACTCTTGTGAGACCAACGCGTTGAAACATAAATTTGATGCGTCAACGCGTACAACTTTGGCATGAGACTGGGGCCAAGAAGGGCGAGGGAGGCTTGACAATGGCATAGGCCTGGCGCTTCCCCACAGCAACTGCCACACCGAACTACTAACCAAAAAGGACCTTGTCACACATGGTTGACTGGAACAATGCAATTTTTGTTGGTAGAAGAAACCAAAGACTACCCCACATCTCCAGGAGCGCCCCAAGGCCAGCAATGTTCGCAAACCAAATGAATTCTCGCTCCAGAATTGAGTTTTTCAATCTTAAACAACTACTTGTTTTTCCAATCTCAGCCAGCGCTTGCACGACTTTGCGTTGCGCACTGCTAACCAATTGCTGCAGCCGGATGTGTAGCGGCCCAAGAAATCGCGGCTTCCGCGAGGCACAGCGAGGAGAATCGCCAGAATCACCCGCCTGCAGCGCTCTCTGTGCCCTGACGCAGAACGCGCAGCGGCAGGCACGACTAGCAAGGGCGCGCTGTCATCCGCTGTCCAGCTCCCCATCCAGCACGCAAACTTACATAGGTCGCAAAGCAAAGATAAGTGATGGACGCAGACCATGCGATCAGGCAGCCCCCTGCCAAAGGCTGGAGCCCTGCACCAAGAACGCCACACAAGGAAACTTAACTAGTCAATAGTGCAACGCGTCGCAGCAAGGCAAACAAACCGCCAGAAGATGATTCTGGAGAAGGAGCGTGAAGAAGTCCAAGACTTTATTTACCAGTGAATTTACCAGCCCGGCCCAGGCCCATACAAAAACACGTGGTGAAACAGCACGCATCACCCTGATCCTCAAGGCGATCAGCAGCTTGAGGGGCAACGGTTGGTTCTGACAAGGGGGCGTGCAAGCCTCACGCTTCTGTCGCTTGCTTCATGTACCGGTGACGGCCGCCTGGCTGCTCAACCACCAAAGGGCCCCTGGGATGCCAACAGGGTCTCCATGAATGCCAAGGCACTCACCACAGCACGTGGCGCTGAAACCCCCGCGGTGACCACTTGAAGGAAAATCAAGCGGCGAAGAAACCTGGTAGAGCGTGCGCAACCACTTGTCATGAACATGTTTCTTGCGGGCGCTGGCCCTAGCAAACCCTGCCCAAAGCCGGCGCGTTTGCCCTGACAAGTGTTTCGTCCGCTTGGGCCAAGCAGTTGGCGACCAACACGCACCAGAAGGGCGCATACAAATTGGTATAGAAACCCACGCGCCTTCTTCTGAGCTGCAATATCTGCAACGAAGGGTTCCACAAAGCTCCCCGTTTCTGCTTCGCAAAGGCCTTGCGCTCCATCGGGTTTTGCAAAGCCTGGAAGGGCCTACAAACAAAATTCAAATTCAAACCCATTAGCATTTTCAGTTGAGGGGCGTAAGGCATTGGAAAGCTGCGCGGTCCTCCGCGTGGAGGTAAAGTGAATAAACCAAGTCATGTTCCAGCAAGGAACATCCTGCACCGAACTGAGGCCACCGACCCTCCAGCGGCCCACCGGTCTCCCAATGCACCCCACCAAGCTCTCCAACTTACGAGCTGGAGCAAAAAGGAAACAAACATCGTGCAAAAAATTTGCCTGCAAAGTTGCCCGATGCGCAAACTGGGGGCTGGCAGTCCTTCTGACCACGCTTGTTCAATCGATGTCGCTTGCGTTTTCCCCAAGACCAACGTATGAGAATCAGAGCCACTGACCCACCCAGGCCTTTTTTTCTCACAACGCGCTCCGGCCACAGTCTTTGGTTGTGGCGTGCGCTTTCAAAAGCTGGATATGTCTTACACTGAGAGAGAGGGAAAAAAACAACGATTGATCGGCGCGAAAGCCACACCCCAGGAAAACTAGCCGTGATGTACAAGACAACAAGCGTGGGTTGATGTCGAACCCACCCTCCCTCCTAAGAAGTTGCGGTCTAAGACCTCACGCCAGATCTTTTTGTCGGTTGTCCTGCTGGCAATCCTCTTTGCCAGCAGTGCTTCCTGCTTTTCATTTGGAACTTGCCACACCAGCCTCCCTGGCTTCGCCGCAAGTTCTTTTGAGACACTTTTTGCATTTCCTTTGTGTGATGTTCAGCTGGGAGTTGAGGATCACTTTCGACAAGTTTCGACTGAAGGGCCAGCCACATACTGACGTCCAGGTCTCTATGGGAACGTCCCAGCCAGCGTCTTCTACTTGGTGCCATACGCGCTCCCTTGAGTTGTAGGCGGTTGATGCTACCCAAAGTTTCTTGGGGAGTTCAGTGGCCACCACTTCACATTTTTCCTTTTGATTGGGGGGTTCTTCAACTGTCACCTTTTCCATAGCTGTACCTGCAGGAGGATCCGAACCCATAGGTAGTTCGCACTCCATTTTGATTGTTTCTTGACTTTGGGTGGCTCGCTCAACTTCAGGTTTTTGTTGGCTGGCTCGGACTGAAGTGCATCTTCTGCGTACGTCAGCACCACTGATGACCTCCATCGGCCCAAGAAAGCCAGCTCCTGTATGGGCATGCCCATGGCCCCTGACCTCCTCGCTGAGTGACCTTGGATGTCCTTCGAGGTGACCATGGCCCAACCCTCCACCATCTTCGTCTTGGATAGCTTCGAGCCTTGCGAGTCTTGGAACACGAACTCCTGAGGCTCTCTTTCAGCTCCACGAAGGGCTTTCCACATCTCTGTCCATAGTCTCCATGGGCACCATCGGTAGCAGGTCTTGTTGTTGCAGCACTGCAAAGTTCTGCGCACTCCCAGGCCCTGCTGATCACACTTCGAGACGGGGATGTAGATGGAGACTCTTCTTCGGTTCCAGTCGGCCAAGATGTCCTTCCATCTCTTTTCGGGCCCCTGCAGGTGAGGATCCATTTGATGTGTTCGATGCCATCCAACTTGAACTCTGGAGCTCTCTTCACTGGGCCTCGATCTCTCTGCAGCGATCGCTTGCAATCCGCTATGGCTTTGCTCAGCTGCTGACTCACTTCCCAGCTTGCCTCGATGTGCATCAACTTCAGCTCATTGATGTATTGGCCTCCTGGTGACCAGCCCACCGCTTTGATT